GGAGAGGGTTGTGGATGGTTCAATGGAAACCTCTTCTCAGTGTGCAGCTGAGGTGAACAAAACAAAGAAGATATTTGAACACATAAGGAATGGGATGGAAAATAATCTAATGCCTTTATTTAAGCCAATGGTATTGCCTCAGCTGGAATACTATGTAAAGTACTCATCACCTTACCTCAAAAAGGATAGTTCAGAACTGGAAGGTGTTCAAAAAGAGCAATGAAAATGATAAAGGGCCTGGAAAAACTATCATCTGAAGAGAGATTGAAAAGATTGGGTTTACTTTAGAAAGGAGATGAGTACCAGAAAAACACAAAATAATGAATTGTCTAGAGAGAGTAGAACAGGAATTTATATCTTCCTTGTCTCATAACATAAGAAAAAAGGGACAGTCAATGAAATTAAAGGGTGGCAGATTCAAAACTGATAAAAGGAAAGTTTTTCACAGAAGGCATAATTAGACTGTGGTACTCATTGCTACATGAAGTTGCTGATGACAAGCATTTAGCAAGATTCAAGAAGAGACTGGGAATTTATATAGCTATCAACAATATCCAGAGTTATCATAATTAATGATAAATATTTTGGAAGGGATATAAAAATCTCATTCTTCTGGATAAAGCCAATGTCTATCCATTAGAGATCAGAGTGAGATCTCATTTGGGGTGCAGGGTTGAGGGGGACACACAGATTTTTCACATCTGCTATGACACGGTTCTTAAACTTTCTTCTGAAGCATCTGGTATTGACCACTGACTGAGACTGAGTAAGGTCATCAGTTATGGATTAGTTATATTTATTCCATGAACGTTCTGGGAATTGTAGTTCATATAAACTCAGCTAAAACAATGGGTGAAATCATCAATTCAATTTCATTGGTGTTAATTCATGCACTGAGAGCAAGATTGAGAACAGTTATGTAAGAACATAAGAACGGCCATACTGGGTCAGACCAAAGGTCCATCTAGCCCAGTATCCTGTCTACCGACAGTGGCCAATGCCAGGTGCCCCAGAGGGAGTGAACCTAACAAGTAATGATCAAGTGATCTCTCTCCTGCCATCCATCTCCACCCTCTGACAAACAGAGTCTAGGGACACCATTCCTTACCCATCTTGGCTAATAGCCATTAATGGACTTAACTGCCATGAATTTATCCAGTTCTCTTTTAAACGCTGTTATATGAATTAGTCCCATTTAATAAATATAATCACTTTCCGGGAACCTCCAGGACTCTGAGTTATGATCCTATTTCTAGTTGGCAGTTCTTTTGTCACACAATTTTGTCCTGCATTTTACAAGTCTGATCTAATTTTTAAGTACTTATCTTCTCAGGTAAAAAATTTTAGAATAGCCAAAATTGACAAACAAAAGGGGGGGAAAGAAGCCCACATCCAAGTCCATACCCCTAAACACCAAACAGACAAAAATAATGGTGGAATTACTTGACCAAATGCTTGATTAGGATGTCCAGCATCTCTCTGTTTTTCTCTGGTAATTTATGAACAAGTGCATGTACTGCCTCAACCCTGTAGTTCTGGTCATCGGATTCTGTTAAATAAAAATAAGGAGAATGTTATTAAATTAAGGTGCACCCAAAGATGTGTGTAAGGATGATGTTAATAACACTACACTAGGGCACACTACACATTACAATAAGGCAAACCATCAATCTGCTGTTAAAACTGCCTTCCAAAAATCTGAGAACAATTCAGATATGTTTATTACATGAACATTCTGGGAATTGTACTTCAAATAAACTCAGTTAATACAATGGGTGAAATCCTGAAGTCAGCCGGAGTTTTGCCATTGATTTCAACAGAGCCAGGATTTCATAGAATCATAGAATATCAGGGTTACAAGGGACCTCAGGAGGTCATCTAGTCCAACCCCCTGCTCAAAGCAGGACCAATTCCAAACTAAATCATCCCAGCCAGGGCTTTGTCAAGCCTGACCTTAAAAACCTCTAAGGAAGGAGATTCCACCACCTCCCTAGGTAACGATTTCCAGTGCTTCACCACCTTGGGGGGGAGGGATAGCTCAGTGGTTTGAGCATTGGCCTACTAAACCCAGGGTTGTGAGTTCAATTCTTGAGGAGGCCACTTAGGGATCTGGGGCAAAATCAGTACTTGGTCCTGCTAGTGAAGGCAGGGGGCTGGACTCAATGACCTTTCAAGGTCCCTTCCAGTTCTAGGAGATGGGATATCTCCATTTATTTATTTATATATTTTTAAATTATTATTTATTTATTATTTACCCTCCTAGTGAAAAAGTTTTTCCTAATATCCAACCTAAACTTCCCTCACTGCAACTTGAGACCATTACTCCTTGTTCTGTCAAACAAGGAGTAATCTTTAACAGCATCTAACCCCCCCTTTATATTTCCTCTTATGGTGGTTTGAGGAGAGATGAGGATAATTAGCACTTTATGTATTTGTAAGTATCAGAAAAAAATCCAAATAATTAAGGTTGCACAGGCACAGAACCTTAATTCTAGCATTTATTAACTTTTGAGTGCTTGACTTTTAAACCTTAATATTCTTGATTCTGTGTGTGTGGGTGTGTGGAGGAGGGAGGGAGAGAGAATATTACGTACATACATACTTCGATTTTGAGTTCCTCAGGGGCAGGAACTGTCTTTTTATTATGTTAGTACAGAACCCAGCACAGTGAGCCTGGGGCTTATGATTGGGGCCAGTTGGTGCTAATGCACTACAAATACATAATAATGTCCACGTATGTACAATTTCATATCTCTTGAAATAAATCATTGCCTGGGTTATTTGAAACAAAAGTAGGCTGAACATGGGAAGATATAGTATGAGGAAAGTTCTCCAGAAACAGTGGGTAAGAGATGGATCAAAAAGAGTATTACTCTCCTGAAGACTTACTAATTTCTTTAGTGTTTTACTTACTAACGGCAATAATGAAATCCTTGTGCAACTTGAAGGTCATCAGTGGTTCTGTAAGACACCTGGTCATAAAATTAGAAAAAATATTTTAGAAAATGTATTACTTTTTAAAATCCTTTCTTGTATTTTATTGCTGTTGCTACTATTTCAATATGCTTTTATATGATGACTGTCACCTTAGCATCTCGGTGCCAGATAATTATGTCCAATGAAACGAATTCATTGCCTACAGGCCACAACCATAGCAAAATTCAGTCATGTGCAAGATCTGATGAAAATCTTCTCTAGCTAAATCCAGTGCCACTCTGTGAGTAACTTAAAGAGGAATGCCAATACCATTGCCTTGATCACAGACCACGGGCCTGACTGCCTTCTCACTTACAAAGCTGTAAAATCAGGCATAACTCCACCGAAATCATCAGCAGTGTTGCTGAAGGTAGAAAAGTGAGGGGCCAATTAGGCTTCAAGCTTCAGCTGGTGAAATCCAAATATATCATGAAGACCCCAGTATGGCACTGAAATCCTGATATGTAGTGAACTGGGAAGACTCTTCATTCAAAAGGCAACTTATGAATTGTCTGCAGTCATAAGAAACATTATCACTGCCATTTCTTATTATAAAATTGCATAAGTAACAACCTCACCCTAACCAAGATTTTCAAAAGTGACTAGTGATTTTTGATGCCTACATTTTTGGATGACCAACTTGACTGAGTTTCAGAGGTTTGGATTTTTAGGAAGTGCTGAACACCTACCCTCTACAAGCTTGGTCCCTTCGAAGTGTCCCAAATTGTGACCCAACAGTTGAGGACCCCAAAATCACAGTCACTCTAGAAAATCATGACCCTTATTTTTAAAGGGTTTCGAAATTGCTGAAGGTTTAGTATGAATTTGCTAATTGTTTGGGGATATATTTATTCCCAATTCCTGTAAAGTGACCTGTATCATAGGATATGAAATGAGAATTAACGTTTATGCAGGGAGCCACAATTTTATCCTGCCCTAACAATAAATTAGTGAAATATCATGCTGTGCAATTTAGATAAAGGATTTAACAAATTAGAAAGATTGTCTCATACTGTGCAGTTTAGATAAAGGATTTACAGATCAACAAATGCAATTAACTTATCCCCCCTCCAAATGTAGGGTTTTATAGAGCACAACTGTTTCAACAGCAGGCAGACAGATAGCATAATCAAATGCAGATTCATTTATAAATAATTACTGGAATATTATTAGGCTAGCCAAAATCACTATATATATTTAGTGTTCTAAGGGGGTGAAAGAGATGTAATGCAATATCAATAAATAAGATTAAATGGACATGAAATGAGATACACGTAGAGCATCATACTCACCTGAGGTAGTTTTTTAGTCCGCTTGTTATTGTTTTATTGTCCCAAACGTCCATATCAATATCCATATCAGGAGGAGATTTCGGGGCTGGTAGAAAATTGAATTAGGACTGTATTATACTTTGACTAGCAGACTAGTTAGGAAAGCAACACAACACTTCAACAACATACAAAGATTTTGTGTTAATTTCTTATGGTTATTTTATTACCCAGATTAACTAACACCCTGAACATACATTGAAATCCTTTAATTTTTATCAAGTGTCAGAAAAATGGAATAGCATCTAGTACATAGACATCTCAACTATGTGCCCAACTTCAAAGAGTAAACTAAACCCAAGGTGATACAGGGGTTGCCAGTTGCTTTGGTTTTGATATAGAGCAATCTTCAAAAGAGAGGGAGGTTATATCCAGATTAGCAAAATAAGGGAAACCCCAGGACCACCAAAAAAGAAAAATCTTATAAACTATGAGTTATTAATGGATGATGGTTGTAATATATTGACCTAAAGTTGGGTGTTTGGTATTCCATGCCTTGACAAACAGATCCAATAAACTGAGCATTAAAATTAAATGAAGAAAGGGATTTATAGATTTATTTACATAATCCCAGCTGCAAAATATAAACAAATCCAATGGGTCTCATTTTTCTCAACTGTCTGCATGTGCCACCTTTGCTCCATGATTTGCATTGACTGCCCATTTGTTTCTGAATTGAATTTAAGATGTTGTTTTTGATTGGTAAAGACCTAAAGGTCTTGGGGTGTTTTGATGGGAGACACTTCCTCTATCCTCAGTCAGTAGTAGACACACTCCAAGGATTCCCCTTAAGTTAAGAGAGAGGGCTGGCAGCAGAGTGTTCTCAGATCTGGAGCCAGCTTTCCTGAATAGCCTGGGTTTGTTGACCACTGGAGCATGTTGCAATCTACATCCATTTATACAGGCTGCTGTGGAATTAGTGTTTGATTAAATGTGGGAGGGGTGTTCTGTGTTTCATAGAGGATTGAGTCCTGTTGATCATTGGGATGTAAAACTTTTTTTTCCTTTTAATTTGTGTCGGGGTGTTGAGAGCTCTGGAGAGATTTCCTGTTTCATTTTTTAATAAATTCAAATAATAAACTAAATTAATTGTGAAAAATGCACATCTATCCATAATCCATAATCAATTTCAATGACTCTGCACAAACTGAGGCTATGTCTACACTACTACACGACCTACGCTACACAATTCCAGCTATGTGAATAATGTAGCTGGAGTCGATGTACCTTAGGTTGAGTTACTGCGGGGTCTACACCGCAGGAGGTTGTAGGGGGTAGAAGTACAGGGGTTGACTGGAGAGCCATCTGCAGTCGATTTGGCAGGTCTTTACTAGACCTGCTAAATCGACCGCTGGTGTATCAATCTCAGAGCGTCGATCCTGGCTGTAGTGTAGACCTGTCCTGAGTAACAGTGGCCAGTTACATACATAGCTAACTATTTGCATGCTTACTCACTTAATTTGCCACCTGTAATTGCAAGTGCAAACTAAACTTACTATTGTACACACATTTTTGAGCAGAGACAGTGTAGGAAATCATGTCCAAAATGTCCTTAGTGGATATTAGAGTTTTTCATACAAAATCTTCCAAAACTTACAAAATATGGTATTCATCAGTTTTTGCACTTTGGAGTTTACACCTCCTATTCTGTACAGCCCCAAGATTGTGATACCTATATGGAAAAAATACAGGATAATGAACAGAATCATGGCACCAAAAGTACAGCATGTTCATGTAAATGGACACATAAGTGAGACATTTGGGTGTAAATTTTCAAAACAGTTTATGAGGTTTAACCATCCATCAATTTATAGGAAGTTATGCAGCTAAATTCCTGTACACCACTTTGGACTATTTAGTGCCATTTTGGAAAATTACCACACATATTTTACTGAAATTACACCATATTATAAACAAATCTTAGCTACATGTTAATTAAATGAAACCCCACGAAAGGGCCCAACATTCTGTCTAACTGACTCACGGAAAGGTGCCATGATAGCAGACACTGGAATGATGTCTGAGAAGTGAAAAATAAGTCCCAGAAGCACTCTAGAGGCATGTCCTCACTTCCTAGCCCTGTTCTTGCTTACCAAGAAATGTAAACTTGTGTAACGCAAGCCACTTCAATGGAGTTACTCTGAATTTACACCAGTGGAAATGAGAATGGAATAATGTCCTCCATAGTCAAATGTTGCTGACAATTACAGTAATTACTTTTGTACAAAATTTACTGGTGATACAAACTATTCGACTTAAAATATCTGCACAGTCTAGCGTTTTCCTTGTTTATCTGCAGTACTGCAGCTACTTTGTCAATGCTGAATGACAGGATTGTTTAGTTTGTAGAGCCCAAAACAAGATAAAGAGACAGCCTTAGGTCCCAATTATCCTCAAACAGTTGAGACAGGCATGGCCCAAATGCAAAGAATATTTCTTATAGTACAGTATGCGAAAATGCTACTGGATAATGTTCTATTTTAGGCCTTTATAGTATTATATTTTAACACTCAAATGATGGGACTTGACTTGATCTCCTTTTTTTCCTTAGCACCTTATACTATAGAGAGTTCTTAGGTGTAACCATGGCAAAGCTCTTTTCTGAGGATATTTGAGAAAAAACAATTATAATTTGTCGCAATCTCAAAAGCCTAAACAGGAGGATGCCTCTTAAGTTCAGCCAATTTATTTAGAAAATCATTCCTAATACATATATTTAATTTTAATTTTGATGTCATTAAACTTTGTCTATTTGCCATATCAAGTTTTACTATTTAAAAATGCTTGTATTATTGGTGCCTCTTTCAACATAATGTTCAAAATTCTGCTCTCAGTAAGAAGCACATGACCTTATTTGTTTCAGAAGGTTACGTAGGAATAACTGAGGACTGATTTATTATGAGTAGTAAAATATTATATCAGCAGTAGCTACACTATTATTTTGTTGTTCTTCCCATATAGTGCATACATTTCCTACTATTGTTATTAAACACAAACAATGGATAAACAATGGATGAAATGTATAACTGGTGTAAGGCAAATAAAGTTAAGGGAGTAAGCTAGGGATAATTTTGTCCCAATGTGTATTAAATACAACTGAGCATTAAATGGACTAATAACAGAAAAGTGTTAATTTTTTAAAAAACAATAAGTTGCAATAATTTATTCTTAAATGATAAATTAAAGACAGTCTTTATGGAAGATTTTGAAAACAGTGTTTCAGCTGTGAAAAGTACAAGTTGAGTGACACATAGATTCCAAACTGCACTTGGAAAATATTTTCTGTTTAAGCATTGTAAAGTAACCTATGTCAGAGAAAACCATATGCATACTATGTAATATATAGAGTGTAATGTAATACCTACCTCTTGTCTCCACAGCAACAATACATTTCCTCACAAAGTTAAAACCTGCTTCATTTAAGAACACTATAAATTGAAGAAAAATACATTATTTACTTTAATCTGGCTTTCTGGTTAGCTACATCTTCATGTTAGGATCAAATGTGAGCCCTACACATTTGTCCATAAGAGCATAGCACCTAGAGGTAGTAACTATTATTTATATTATTGTTTAATTACATCTTTATCCTAAAAGAATGCAATCAAACTTTCTGCTCATTAGTACATTCATGTGTGTTTGTTGTTATATTTTTAGTATGTATATTTCAAAACCAGAATTCTTTAACATCTGTTAGAAATAAAAGTGAAATAAAAGTTAGAAATAAAAATAAAACACTTGTATGGCCAAAAGCGTGTCTCTGTATAAAAGGATGCTGTCATAAATATAAAGGGAAGGGTAACAACCTTTATGTATGCAGTAACATAAATCCCTCCTGGCCAGAGGTACAGAATCACTTACTGGTAAGGGGTTAATCAGTTCAATTAACCTTGTTGGCATCTGACCAGAAGGACCAATGAGGAAAGAAGATACTTTCAAATGGGGGAGGGAGATGGGGGAGAGAGGAGGTTTTGTTTGTGCTCTCTTTGTTGGTTCCCCCTCGGGACAAAGAGAGAGACCAAGCAGGTAACCCAGCTCCTAAAAAGATCCGGGACTGATACATCTAAAAATTACAGAAATTGTAAGTAAAGCAAGGAAATGCGTTAGAATATCTTTTGTTTAATTTGTGAATTTTCCCTATGCTAAAAGGGAGGTTTATGCCTGTTTTTGTAACTTTAAAGTTGAGCCTAGAGGGGAATCCTCTGTGTTTTAAATCTTTTTATTTACCCTATAAAGTTATCTTCAATCCGATTTTGCAGGTGTGATTCTTTTAAATTTTTTTTTTAATAAAATTCTTCTTTTAAGAACCTGATTGATTTTCAGTGTCCTAAAAACCAGGGATTGTGCTCATTTTGTTAACCTACCGGTTGGTATATTATTCTCAAGCCCCCTCCCCCCCTCAGGAAAGGGGGTGAAGGAGCTTGAGGGGATATTTTGGGGGAGATAGGGCTCCAAGTGGCCCCTCCCTGAATGTTTGTTTAAATCATTTGGTGGTGGCGGCCTTGGGGAAGTTTTTAACTTAAACTGTTGGAATATAAACTTAGGGGGTGTCTTTCATGCGGATCCCCACATCTGTACCCCAGAGTTCAGAGTGGGGAGGGAATCCTGACAGATGCACATTCTAAGAATACAGAAACAAAACAATAAGAGAATGAACCAGTTAGCAGAAACTGCTGTGAAGTTTTGGGTGGGAGAAATCCTCTTGCTTTTAGAATTATTAGCCTGGTAAAATATAGGATTTAGATAGCAGTTTTGCTCTTTTATTTCCTTTTGTAATCAACTCTAATCTTCTATGCCAATGTCACTTAATCACTTAAAATCTATCTTTCTCTAGCTAATAAACTTGGCTTGATGTTTAATGTAAGACACTGAGTTTGTCAAAAGCGCTTGGGGGATCCACTCAGATTACAGAGGCTGGGGCATGTCCACTACCCTTCAAAGAAAATGGGGGAGGGATAGCTCAGTGGTTTGAGCATTGGCCTACTAAATCCAGGGTTGTGAGTTCAATCCTTGAGGGGGCCATTTAGGGATCTGGGGCAAAAATCTGTCTGGGGATTGGTCCTGCTGTGAGCAGGGGGTTAGACTAGATGACCTCCTGAGGTCCCTTCCAACCCTGATATTCTATAGTTCTAAAACAACAAGGAGTCCAGTGGCACCTTAAAGACTAACAGATTTATTTGGGCATAAACTTTCATGGGTAAAAACCCTCACTTCTTCAGATGCAATGAAATCTTACTAAATCTGCATCTGACGAAGTGGGTATTCGCCCACGAAAGCTTATGCTCCAATACGTCTGTTAGTCTATAAGGTGCCACAGGACTCTTTGTTGCTTTTTACAAATCTTCTTGCATCTGAAGAAGTGAGGTTCTTACCCACGAAAGCTTATGCTCCCAATACTTCTGTTAGTCTTAAAGGTGCCACAGGACCCTCTGTATTAATTAGTTTGCCACTCTTCGAAGGCTATCAAGTATCAGGGAGTAGCCATGTTAGTCTGTATCCACAAAAACAAGACTTCTTGCATCTGAAGAAGTGAGGTTCTTACCCATGAAAGCTTATGCTCCCAATACTTCTGTTAGTCTTAAAGGTGCCACAGGACCCTCTGTTGCTTTTTACAGATTCAGACTAACACGGCTACCCCTCTGATACTTGAAACTAATTAATGAGCTTGCATTGCTCAAGAAAGTCTTGAGCAGTGTAAGACACGCATTTCTGGAGTGTAAAGCTGGGGCTGGGGGAATTTGCTGGTGTCTCCCTATATACAATTCATGAGTGGCTTGGGAAAGTCTTTATGGAACTAAGATGGTGTACTTTATGGAACTAAGGGTGTACCTTTGCTCACCGATGGCTGAATTAACACAGCCTGGAGGGGTCTGCTGTTCACTAACATGGCAGTGTAGGAGACTCTGTGGGCAGGAGAGGAAAAGGGGGCACAGGAGCTCCACAGTCCAGATTGCACCCCGGGGCATGGAACAACATGGAACAATATAAAAATGGGATTACAAGCATTGGGCTACAAGGACAAAACAAAGAGACCCAGGTGGATAATGGATGAAGTGCTGCAGCTGTGAGACAAACGTAGGAAATGAAGGAGAATAAAAAATAGGACTAAAGTCTTAGAGCTAAGTACAATAGGCTGCTTAGACAGATAACACAGAAAGCAAAGAGAGACAGAAACAACTGGATAAGCCAACAATATAAGGAAGTAGAAGAATATGTGAAGAGAAATGTGGCACAGGAGTGGAATTGTAAGATGATAGAACTGAGTGGGACATATGAGTTGAAGATGTTGGCAGTGAAAGACAAACTGAGCATGAACAAGCAAAGAATACGTGATGGAAATAATATTTTGAAGAGCTGTACAATGTGCGGAACACAGTAGATGAAATGGTTATAGAAAAGCTTCCCAGCATAAATGAGGGAGAAAAGATGCTGGAATTCTTAGACAAAGAAGTAAATATCTCGATACCTCGGAAGTTTGGAAAAGAAAAAGGCAACAGGTAATGACAATGTAACTGCAGAGATACTGCAAGCAAGGGAGGAACACTTGGTAAATGTGATGCACAAACTATTCAACAAGATTTACAAACAAAAGCAAGTGTCAAGCAAATGGGGGAAAGCGAAAACAGTACCAGTCTATAAAAAAAAGGAGATTGGAGTGAGCATAAGAAACTACAGAGGGATCGGCTTATTGTGCGTGCCAGGAAAAGCATTCACCAAAATGGTGCAGAGGAGAATGAAGAGGTATGTGGAAGTGGTTCTTGCAGAACAGGCTGGATTTAGACCAAGATGAAGTATAATAGATCAGTTATGTGTGATAAGACAGATATCAGAGAAGTATACAAAACACAACTGAACCTGTTACAACAACTTTATAAACCTCAAACACACTTTTGAGAGCAGTTAGCAGAAAGTTATGAGACTGTATGGCATCCCCAAAAAATCAGTCAAGCAGATAGAAAACATCTACAGCAAGTCAATGAGTGCGGTGAGAGTAAACAAGATGCTGACAGAATGACTCAGGAGTAAGACAAGGAGGCATGCTATTGCCCGATTTTTTCAGCTTGGTACTGGAAGCAGCAATGGCTACATGATTGAGAGATGAAACGGGAGGAGTCAGGTTACGTTACAGGATGTGTAGGATAAACCCAATGAAAAATGACATACAAAAGGTTTAAATATGAATGAAACTGTGAAGCTGGTACAAGATAGAAAGAGTTGGACAGACTTCATTTGGCTCCATTGTTATTGCTGAGCTGACGGATGGGAAACAAAGAATAATAATAATAATGTGTGTGTGTGTGACACCTGCACAGACGCACACAAAATATAATGGAGTAACTGCATGATAACATAATGTTTGCCCATCACCACAATAAAAGCCATAATATTCCTAAGTCTGAAGACCATAAACAAGTTATCAGGTGCAGGGATATTATTATGTCAGGGTGCAGGTGGTCCATTTGATTTTATATATACATTTATATATAGAACTATGAATATATCTATAGCTATCTAGAGTGACATTATACATAGTGTACTGTTTTGGAACCACGTTAGCCAGAAGCATGATTTATTTTATTTTCTCCCAATTTATATTTGATTATAATACAAACATTGAAGACTTTTTCACACCTGATGTAACTGACCCTTGAGACAGGATGTACTTTTTTGCAAGTTGACAGAAAAGAGTAATTCTTGACAATACATGAAAATATAATACTGTAATTTGCAACCCTAATATGCCTGAAAACAAGGACATTATACTGTAGAAATCCAGGTATATTTAATAATTTTACATAATTAAAAAAAACTTACTTTCTTCCTTCTTGCTAATAATGGCTGGTAAAGTGTAAATCTGAAAAAAGAAAACATTGCAATATGAACATTTGTGACTTCCAGGTCAGTTAAGAGCTCTCAAGCCACGGCAAACACATTTTGCATTAGCATGTTGCATTTGGCAAGCCTTGCTCCTGCCATTTATTTACTATGCAGTCATTGTAAATGAGCTTAACAAGCATAAAACTTAAAATGCTGCCTCTAGTAGGCAGTCTCTCTTATGAGAGTTCAGTTCAACTACACGTTTGGGTAGCTGAAAGATGATTGTGAGTAACCAGAATTGTAGAGTCTATATTGTTATATGTGAACCCTGTTTACTCTCAGCCCTAACTCCTTGGTTGGACCTGTTCAGTGAGACCAGGTGCCATCTAGCTCATAATTCTGAACAATCATCTTCTCCCTTTTGGGTCTACTTGTGGAGCTGTGCCATTGTATTCAATGGAAATCTCAAGTGTAGATTAATGGCAGGATGAAATGTCAGCTTCTCTCATCAACACCTACCAGCCTCCATCACAGTTTCTTTTCTCTGCAGCACCTTTAAAGGTGGCGATACTGCTGCTCAAAGGCATCACCCTTAAGATGACTTGCTCTCAAATTCACAAATTGTGCCTGTGCACATGTATCCTGTATGCCAACGAAATATGATGTTGGCCGGACTGTCAATATCCCAACTAACATAAGTGACTCAATGTGTGACTACAGATTGAGATATACTATTTTTTCTGCTTCATTATTAATTTAATGATTATCTTATCATTCGTGTTTATTTTACCATTGTTTTGTCCGTAACGCTTGCGAAATACCGTTTGCACGTATGCATTGTGTCGTAAAAGTTTATGTAAACTGTTTCTCCATGTTTGAGATATTTTGAGATGTACAGCAATTTGTTCTTTTCACTTCTGTATACAAGAAATCTGAACTCATAATAAATAATATAACAAATTTCCTTACTGGTTCCTTTCCATCCATAGCTTCCAGCCAAAGTTTCCTGTTGGACTCTGAAAAAGCCTGAAGTGTTATGATCCCATGTCTATTAAAACAAAATATATATTATTTAAACATATTAATTATTTTTTCAACCAATGATATTTAAGATCATTTTAACAGGAAATGTGATCTAGTCTAAACATAATTATTTACTTTTTTGTAGTGCTAGGCATGTATCTTGACCTTTCTGTGTCTGTTTTTTATCTCTGTGAAACTGGGATAATAAAACTTACTCTATCACAAGGGAATATAAGACTTCATTAGTTAACATTTGAGAATCTCAGATGAAATGTGGTATCAAAGTGTAACTATGAATTGTTATACAGCTGATAAAAATAAAATTAGTTCAGTAGATGTGCCTATTTAACTAATGGAAGAGGCTCTGTAGAAATGGGGTTTATTAGTGATACAAAAGCACACACACCTACTAAAAACTCAGTGTAAATATTACTTATATATATAGTCAGCTGTATAAACAATTCATAGTTCCGGATCTAAGTCTGCATCAGTGAGCTACTTTAAAAGTGATGGCAGTCCAAAACCTGGCAAACCTGGAGAGTCAAAGAAAAGCCCCTTGAAGAAGCTTTGCTCTCACCTGTCTAGGACCTATCTATTCAAAACTTTTGACACCTTGTTTGAACCCACAGTCTTCCTTTGCCAAATACAGAAATAAAAGATACTAAATTTAAACTAATTATCCCCCCGAGTACTCTCACCACTTAATTATAACATTTTTCATGAAAGACATTGGAGAATATGAAAATACAGATATACACAAACAGAGCTCCACAATACTGAAGAAGAAATGAAAAGCCTGCCTCATTAAATCAATATTGGATGTTATTCTACAAATTATGTGCTATCTCAACCATGAGATAGCAAGAAGCTACTGGGTGAAATTCTACAGCCTGCATTATGCAAGAGGTCAGATTAGATGATCACAATGTTCTCCAATAGCTTTAAAATCTGTGCATCTCTACACATCATATATATTTAAATTGTAAAGCGTAAGTTATAGAGTCAAACCAAAACAGGGATGGGGAGGGGGATACATATAAAGAGTCCTCCCATCGAAATTAGGAAGGTCATGTCATTCGATAAACATTTTCTACCCACACACAATGTTTCATAAAACATTTTAAACTAGGGGAGGAGGGATAGCTCAGTGGTTTGAGCTCTGGCCTGCTAAACCCAGGGTTGTGAGTTCATTCCTTGAGAGGGCCATTTAGGGATCTGGGGGAAAGGAAAGGACAGGACAGTGTGGCCTGAAAGGCCTCTGGTGTGGATGACGTACCAAGTGCCTCTGATGCTTTCCAGGGTGGCAGGTGGGTCTTGAAGTAGGCTCAACAGGAGTCGGAGCCTGGCCACCATCTGGAGGGGAAGAGCCGCCCCATGCAGGTCTTTGCTCTTCACCAGCTCTCTCTTTCCCTTCATGGGACATAGGAGAACACCCACTCCCAGCCTTTCTTTGCTTTTTTGCCAGTACTGGGGATGGGGATCAGTGGCACACTCCGCACCGAGGCCACGGTGCTTGGAGCAGAGTCTGATCTTGTCGGCTCCAAGGCCAGTGCAAGGGCCGACTCCATAAGGAGTGCTCTGAGATCAATGTCTCACTCCTTCTTGGTCTGCAGCCTGAAGCTCTTGCAAATGCAACACTTGTCTCTCATGTGGTTTCCCCTAAACGTGTCAGGCAGCTTCTGTGGGGATCACTGACTAGCACAGGTTTTTTGCAACAGTCACAAGCTTTGAAGCCTGTTGATGAGTGCATGCCCCATCCCTAGGTTGAGTCCCCTGAATCGGCGGGTAGAAATCGACCTCTCGGGGATCGATTTATCGTGTCCCGTCGGGACGCGACAATCGATCCCCGAATCGGCGCTCTTACTCCACCAGGGGACGTGGTAGTAAGAGCCGCCGGCGGGAAGCTGCAGAAGTCGATTTTGCCGCCGTCCTCACAACAGGGTAAGTCGGCTGCGATACGCCGAATTCAGCTACGCTATTCACGTAGCTGAATTTGCGTATCTTAAATCGACTCCCCCCTGTAGTGTAGATGTACCCATACAGGACTAACTATTCCTAGCTTAACACTAAGGGAACTATTAACTATACAACATTAAACAACTATATACAACAAATTCACTACTAGATACAGTAGAGATAGGAAAGCTTGTCAAAGCAAGGAGACATTCCAGCACTATCACTGGCGGTAAGAAGGAACTGGGAGGGGGGAGCTGGTGACACCCCTTATACTGGCTGCAATACAATAAAGGTAAGTGACTATTAGAAGAACTTCTTATAAAAATCTGAGCTGAAAACTGTTGAGAACAACATCTAAGTAAAATTTAAATTGTTTCATTTAGATGTGTTGCTTCCTGATAACAGTTTGAAAGTTTTCATATCAGATTGTTTCTTTCATTTAGTGCAGTGGTTTTCAATCTTTTTTCCTAAAAAATTTCAAATGGAGGTGTGGTCCTCTTTTGGAATCTTAGACAGTCTGTGGACTCCAGGGGTCCCAGGACCATAGGTTGAAAACCACTGATTTAGTGAGATGTTCACTTCAGTCTATGTTGTCTTATTAGCACTTGCAACATCTCCATATAGATTCTGAGTACTAGGTGGGAGAGGATTGAGTCTCATGAGATGAGAGGTTTGGAGGTGGAGGAGGAGTTGCTCATAACAGTGCTTTCCAGGTCTTTAAAGACTTTGTTGTACCTTATAAACTGTATGAGTAAATAATTATTCAATGAAGGCCAAACCCTGCAAGTTACCAAATGTCCTTCCTCTCTGACTGAAATTGATCACTGTTGAGGATACTCAACAATTCTCAGGATTACATCTAAAAAAAACTTAAGCCTAATCTTTAAAATCAGTACGCATTAATTTAAAGTCAGTCATTATCAACTTTGTATTCTTCCCAATTCCCCTATGTTTTAATAGTGTATAAATGAAAAAACATGAAACAGCAAGAAAGTATTTTATCATTACAAATATATTTGACATCAGAGTCTCCCTTTCACAGAGGAAGCCAAGTTTCAATTTATGTCATCCAGAAGTGATTAGTGCCACTCTTTGCATATGGGCTGCCTGCCAACTGATCATTTCTCAGTATCATGTTGACCAGAACTTTTTATCTCCTCTGCTGACTCACACAAACCTCCACTGGTTTCCTGTTAAATATGGAACCAATTTCAAACCTTGACTTCTTGTCAGTCTCTGAAAGGTCTGTCTCCTCTCATAATAGTATTTTAAGCAACCTTGTGAACTATTGTGCTTTCAACTTTTTTGTCTAAATTTTCAGAAAACATTTAGATGTAAGCTCTCTGTATTTTAACTTGTTAACACAAATCAAAATAAATAAGACTTATTAAACCAAGTTAAAATTAACAAGTTTTATTCCAAAAGTGTATAACTCCATTTAAAGAGAACTGAAAGAATTTAAGATCTTTCTAAAAATTTAAGGACAAAACTCACTTTTTAACTATCTTACAGCAGCAATACCGTCACTTTGTCTGATAAAGTTAGTTTTGATATATTTTGATCTTTGAATTTGAACCACTCTCTGATTTTGGTTTTCCAAAACAAAATTGTAACCTATGGTTTTTTTTTTGTTTGTTTTTTTGTTTTTTTGTTTTTTTTTAACAAAACCAGAACAAGAACAACCCAGTTTTGCCAATATTTCTGAAATTAAAGGGCACCAAATATCAAGTAATTTATCCCAACATATCCCCACCCCAAATTTGTAGTGCTAATGACTGCATTTTACCTATTAATATAGGACTTCAGATTACAGGTATATTTATCTTTCACAAGCACAAAATTCACCACAAAATTAACATGTTATAAAATAGTGACACTTCTGCATAATACATTACTATTATTATTGTAGTCACAAAATATTTCTCAGAGAAAGATTAGGAAAGATTTATATAAATAGTGTGAATTTACTAATTCTGTTTATTTCACCATGATTCAAGGCAGATGTTTATCCACCTTTTCTCTCATGCCCACTAGCCTGAAATTCTTAAAAAAGAACAAATATTACTTTCACTGAGTATTTGCATTCCCCCCCAAATGCTGTAAAACTGTTCCTATTCATTTCATACAATTAAATATTTCCAGTAGTACCTGGAGAAAAACTTGTACAGCTATTTCAGCATATGGGAAAAAATAAACTTTCTTAACTTTAACTTTAATAGGTAGAAATATATTTAACTTCCACATAATTCACGTATAACTAGAAATTGTGGAACAACCAATTTGAGAGAAACATGGAGTGTATGTGTGTGTGAGAGAGAGAGCACATTTTTTTAGATATTTACCACATGGGCCAAAATTCTAAAATTAGCCTCCTTAATAAAATCATAGAACTCAAGGTAAGACTAAGTATTATCGATACCATCCCTGACAGGTGTTTGTCCAACCTGCTCTTAAAAATCCCCAATGAGGGAGATTCCACAACCTCCCTAGGCAATTTATTCCAGTACTTGAAAACTGTTATGTCCCCTCTCAGTCTTCTCTTCTCCAGACTAAACAAACCCATTTTTTCCCAATCTTCCCTCATAAGTCATGTTTTCTAGACCTTTAATCATTTTTGTTGCTCTTCTCTGGACTTTCTCCAATTTGTCCATATCTTTCCTGAAATGTGGTGCCCAGAACTGGACACAATACTCCAGTTGAGGCCTAATCAGCGCGGAGTAGAGCGGAAGAATTACTTCTCGTATCTTGCTTACAATACTCCTGCTAATACATTCCAAAATGATGACTGCTTTTTTTTGCAACAGTGTTACACTGTTGAATCATATTTAGCTTGTGATCCACTATGACCCCCAGACACCTTTCCGTAGTACTCCTTCCTAGGCAGTCATTTCCCATTTTGTATGTGTGCAACTGATTGTTCCTTCCTAAATGGAGTATTGCACTATAAGTTTATTAATTGAACTATAAGTTTTCCAAAAAACAGATATGGTTAATTGTGCATGGATAATACACACATGTAGTGTTATTTGTTTTGTGGTCAGAAAAATAGGTTCTGAGCAATTAGGAGCACGCATTTGAAAGTTTGGCCTTATACGCGCATAGTTCTTATGTAAATACATTTACATACACTTTATTAAATAATTAATAATGTTCTTTAAAAAAAGAACCTCAAACCTTTCAGATACTTCAATATCAAAACAGAAACGTTTGTCAATTGAATCAGTCTTTCTCCGGATGCAGGATTTTAGCTTGAATATTTCTGGTGAGCTTGTGACAAGGCCATTCTGTAAGACATACAAAAAGACGAAAATCAGCACGCAGAGATTACATTGCGAACAGTGGGCTACAGAGCGAACAGGGGCGTCTAACAGGGAGTTTCGAGCGGGAGTTCGGAAGGGGAACCGGTAGGGGGCAAGGTACATTTGCCATTCTTTAAAACCTTTAAACTAAACTATAATCAAAACTCCTTGATTTAAACAAAACCCCTCTCATTGACCTAGGTAGGTGTAGGAGAGAATGCAGGCAGAAGCCCAGCAGCAGAGTGGGGGCTATCCTGTTTATTGCGCTCAGTGTAGCATGTATGATTACCTGCCCTGTGGGCAGGTGGTGTATGTGTGC